TATATTCTCTTCTGCAGCATTTATGGGAATTTAAAGAATCTACAACATGGAATAACTAAGATGTGAATGTGGGTTGATCTTCACAGTTGTGAATCTAAGAATGAAGTTACAACAAACGTTCCTCATTTCCACTAGGATCCTACATAAATAGACGTACCACATTTTAATAACTACCTAATGAATAAATTCTAACGATCCCTTTTACAGTCCATAGACTTTGAAACTACAAAATAGGCCTTATTCTGACAGTAGTTAAACATTTCCTCAACGAATTGCTGTTGACTACTTTCGTTGCAAGCGCAACATTGTAAAAGCTTTGCAACAATGAAAACATAAAACAAATAATTACCGTACACATAGTTATGAATATTTACAAGGATATAACACATACAATTATATTCATAAACTTGGAAATAATTCCTAACCCATTTCATCACACTAGGACTTTTAAAAGCGTAGACTTTCGTCTTACAATACTAGCTGAATCTTACAATGTAAAAGTGAGGTACCTAATTAAAATGGTAGATACGCTATGATGGGTACACGGTCTTCACAGACCTTACCTATTCTGTGCACTTAAAAAACCCATTTCGTGAATCTACCTACAGTACATAAAGATAAGACAACACTCAAGTTTGTACGGGTCGACGGTCGATAACGCTTATCAACATCAGGTTACGTTTAGTGTCGTCCGGTCAAGAAATCGTACAGTTTATTGATTTGTGTTAAAATTTGCCGAAAATACATTATCGTAAAGTGGTGTTGTCAAATTTCACATTTAAAGTTTAAGCAAAAAATTTTCAATTCAGGACGAAAATAGCGTGCTATTGTAAAAATACGTGGTTTTATACGACAACTATTTAATCATGCCACATAAATAATAATAAAACAGAAATTGCGGATTTTTATTAGTGTTGGAAAAAGCGTGTTTTTGTTTCTCATCATGAAAACTATTATAGTTTAAAAATTAACACCCAAAATTCAATAGTAGCATAAACTGTAACAGATTTTATACAATATTGTGTTCTTTGATAGTAAATGCATATAACAAAAGAACAGCCTAAAAATTGAGACATGCATACACATTAATATATCCTAAAACTTTGTACAACTTCTATCCTACTGCGTGATGGAGAATATCCGCAATAACATTGTAGGCTACATAAAGATGTCTACTCTAGCCTCCAAGTCAATGTTTATAACGAGTTATAAGCGGTTGGTATTTTCCCTTTGGTTGCATCAACATTTTCCCTTTGTTATTCAGTGTCGGTCCCAGGGGGGGATGGGAGGGATATATCCCCCCTAAATATTTTATATTTTATTTGCTGACGTAAATACTTTAACTTGAGCATATTTTAGAGCTGAAATACGTATACAATCTTTTTTAGCCCCCCCTTTTTATCTGGGGGACATTCCATACCCCCCAGGCCCCCCGGTGGTCATCCCCCAAAAATTAAATCCTGGGACCGCCAACTTTGTCTTCACATTTTGTTCAACTCATGGCATTATTTTTTAATGTTTTATTTTATCAGTTTTAATGCAATATACACTTATGTTTTATTCACTAAACAGTGAGTTTCATTGATCCAATTATTTTTCTTTACGTAATTCAAGAAAACCCATTAATTTTGAATCACTTAAAACACACAGTTTTCTAGAATCTTCTCCTTATCTTATGCTCAGATATTCATGTGTTGCAAAGACCTAGCAGGTTGTTTAAATTGTCTTGATTCTATTTAGTACTACCTACATACTGATACAAAAGCTACAATTATTTTGAATATGCATCTGGTTGGCTCCCCCAAGCTCAATACAACTGTTTATAGGTGAGAACCCCCATGGAAATAAATAGCAGATCAAAATAGAACCCCCCCTTTATAAGTAACAACGAGTTCTTGTCTAACGAATGAGTAACTCTTTACCTTCGACTCACAAGCAGGCCCAGTCATGTTTACAATTTATTTATTTTTATTTCACCAATTATAAAATCATAAAAAACAATCACGGATACTAACACCTACGAGTAATACTAAAACTGTAGAAATCCTAACCAAAACAAAACAAAAATAAAGGAAAACGCGAAACACATATAATACAGTATTCAATTTTTACGATGGATTAAGACATAAAATCTATTTAAAAATAATCAAGTACAAAAATAAGAAAACAAAATATTTTGTTACCATTGTCAAACTTATAAGTATAACCAAACATTGAACACAACAAAAGTTTATTTTACAATAATTTAAAGAACACATTATAAAGTTTACTTAAAATAAAACATTTAGTTAATATCAACGTACTCAAGCATAACCGACATGAAATAAGAAGGATCATAATTCAAATCTACAATAAGATCATGAATCTACTTCGAACATCAACAGCTAATTTTATAATCTAACACTAAATAAAATCGGGTTGACCATTTTAAAGTCAACCGAATGTAAGTTATTTGAATGATCACAAATCTAGGCCAACGTGTCGCTAGAGTTTGCATGACAAAGTTGTAACTTCTGGTCCAAACATGACATTGTTGTCATTCAGACCCATTGTTGCGTGATATTTTTCGACTGTGCTCTGGGAATTTTAGAAAGACTATTTTTAGAACTATTCTAATTACCAAATACGTACATTTTTTGATCAAAAATAGTTGTTAGGGAATAGAACGTGTAAAAAGCTTGACTTACATCGCTTAAATAATTATCGTTAAATAAATACCTATCGTTAAATAATTTGTATGTGTGACCATTTCTGTCTAAATAATAACACGCTTCCTAAATATTTATAAGTCTCCTTATCTATGAAAAGAAAATATTAACTGTTCTCTAATTCAAGCTGTAGTATATTTTAATGATTTTAATTATTTTAATTAATTATTTTAAACTTATGTTTCCAAGATAAGAGGCAGTATTACAAAGATTGTATTTCCTAAATTTTCATTGACTATAAAATGTAAAATTATACATTTTATTGGGTTGATTAAAGATAAGGAGAACATTTTCTATATTAACTTACGATAACATTTATATTTTTTAATTTGGTGGTGATACAGTATTTTTTTAGTCCCGTCACCCCTTTACGTATTTTCCCACTCCTGTTCCTCCTGTGGACAATACAGGTAAACTGTACCAAACTAGTTAATTGTGCTAGAGACTTAATATTCTATATGATTTTTGATTTGGGCTCAACTACTACAGGAAAGTGAGTGTATTTATTTTTATCCACACTTCGTCAAACTACTCAATTCCCTGTTACTTTCTCACTCCTTTGCGATTCACGTACAAAACTACCATGCCCCACATAAATTCAAAAACACTTAGGACTTTGAATTACCAGCCCCTATAACGACCTTTTTTCTTTTTCGCCCCAAATCCGATTCAACCGCCCCGAGGCAGCTGGCGGACCACATTTTGGGGCGTCATTAGCCCCCATACAAAGATACTATCGGGGTTTTCGGGTCGCGAAACAGATATGGGTGATATATGTACCCCGAAACCGTCCCGGTCGAAATTAAAGGGACTTGTCACAATCAGGCTAAATACATGGGACCCGCCTTGGATGGCAATCACCGGCGGTGGAGATGGATCGGTGCTTTATTAGCCAAGAGGGGGTTAACTGTAAATTGTGCTATTTCGGGTTTGGGAACATCGCATTTTATGTTCTAGTTTAACTGTTAGAAGCTGTAAATATATATGTTAATAAGCTTATTTTCTGTTTTCGGAGCAGCTAATGCGGATTTGTTTTTCCCATATTTTATGTAAGCACTCCTAAATTTCGTTCTAGTTAATATATTTTCATTTTCTGTGCTTTCACTGCAGTGGGTTTATGATTTTATAAAACAAGAGGGTACAGCAGTTTTGCCGGATTTCAATAAGTATAGATTTAATACATTGTGTATATTTGCTACCAATACAATATGAGTCCTTAGCAAAGACAACACTTAGTATTAGGGGTTGGTGACTTATCTACAAAGGAGGGACGGGATCGATCCACATTAGTATATAAGTATTTACGTTACAAGTCGTTTTAAGCTACCTACTAAAGTTTAATGTCATGGTATACCGACAGCTGAATCCGAGGAAGTAGTACCTATATCCACACTTAAAACCAGCTCCGAAGTTTAACTTTACTTTAATAGCGCAAAAAAAACTATTTAGTGTACAGTTGAGTCTGGATTATCTAACATCATCGGGCACAGTAAGGTCGGATAACACGGAAAATAATGAAAAACACATTGTAAAGCTTTTAACAATTATATTGAAACATTGAAGACGTTTAAATTAGACACATAAATCTGTGCATATTGCTTATTCCTTAATAAAATAAAATAATGCATTCAAAACTTTCTTTTCTACCGAAACTATATATTAAAAACTTAACAGCGAAGTATACACATTCAACAGAACATATTTAATAAACGTTCCTTTAGGTGGACCAAAAATCACTTGGGATTTGTATAGACACAGTGTTAGTGAGCAAAAGTAAGAGTAAGAGTAATTAATTCTTTTAGATGTACTAACGTAAAATTTCTACAATGTAAGTTAAATAGAAATGAATGTAAAGTAAATTTAGACAAAAATAAATCTGCAAAAGAGTTATTTTGCAAATAAAGGGAATTAGTATAAATATAAAGTACATAAATTTTTCCCAAGCATTAACTTTAGCTTCTCTCCGACTCGAAATGGGCGAATAGTATGAGGTAAATAAAAAAGTTATCATACATATGTGGGAAGATTAATACAGACTTGTTTTCTCTGTATGTAATAATAGAAATTATTGATTGTCAATTGCATCTTTTAATCAAGAATGTAGGTATTCTACATAATATTTACATTGTTTAAGTATTTTGTACAAGACAATAAACCTGATAACGTTAAGCTTCAATCCAATTCCAGCGGGACTGAAAGCGCAAGCAGTCTAGTACGAATGGAGTAAGCAAAAACGAGTGCAGCCGACTAAAGTCGTTCTGTTTTTTCGTGACGTCAGTTAGTAGTCTCGTCATGGCCGCGATCGCGAAAGACGGGTTATTAAATAAGTTACCAATTATTGTGATTTTGGGTGCGACTGGTACAGGAAAATCCAAATTGGCTTTGGAAGTTGCAAAGCAGTTCAATGGTGAAATCATTAGTGCGGACGCAATGCAGGTATTTATTTCAAATAAGCTCTATCTCGTGTCTTACCACCTAAACATAACCTCACTTTTAACCTAAAAGTAATTTAATGCTTTATAATATGAATTTATATGATTGTTAAGAATAAGTTGCATTTGTAATGGAATAAACACAATGTGAACTTGATGTTACGAACCTATTATTGAGTGAACATTTTACAATCCTACGTACAAAATGAATTTGTTCCACCTAGGGAACATGTGATTTCAAAACAAGTTTCTTGTTTTTGATTATAAAGTATTAAATTATTTGATGCAATGGTATCAATCTAAACATAAAAATAAAATGCTGTTATTTTTCAATTTTTAAAGGACTAGCCTAAGTTTAAGTTAACTTCATCTTAGATGTAGGCTACCGTATTCACTTACCCTACCTGGAAATAAAACAAAATGAGTGTTAAAAACAATGGTGCTTTCGTACTATACGAAGGCCACTTATTTTACTGCGCACTGCTTCAGTTATGTTAGGAACCGGTCACCCATAAATATGTTTGTAGGATTGTAGGACTTTCCTCGTTTTGTTATGAATCGAACGATACCAGATGAGTCTTAAAAGGTTTAGGCCTATGACAATCCAACTTAACATAACCGCCACAGCACGCTGTAGTATAAGGGTAGCCAACGTATAATACGAAAGTAAGTTATTAAAAAAAATCAGGGAATGAATCAGTTCTTTAGTAGGCTTAAATCATCCTGACTTAACATTGTTTACATATTTTATCAGTCCACCTGATCCTTGCAATAGGCCACCCTTAGTACTACTTATACATTTATCCAGTGATCGATTTGTAATAAATGATGTGCCGGAACTATAAACTATTTAACTTAATGTGATTTGGTACTTATTTATGCTTATATTTTTATCTACCGGTACCATATTCGTAAGAGAGGTAGGCCTACTGGAACTCCTTTTTGCCGCGTTCCTCCGCAAATCGAGCACTGCATTTATCACTATGAGTTGTACTTTTTTTATGTGTTAGGCTATGTAAAATAAAGATGTCAATTGAAATACTGTAGGATAAATAAATAAATACATTCGGCCTAAATAAAGCACATCGTAGCAATACCGTAATAAGTTACCTAGTTTACTTTTAATCCATCTGTTTGCGGAACATCTATTAAATTAGACTATAACCCATTTCAGTCAGGCGTTAATTATAACTATTGATTGATTAACTAGGCTACCTACTCAATAATCACAGATTGAATTTCAACTACCTACCTAACTTAGACGGGATGAGTTGTCATCTTAGATTTGATCAAGAATGTTGTCAAATCACTTGTTGACAATTCAGAACCTTAAGGGTTAATAGGAGCATTTTGGCCAATTGTGAAAGTTTTATATTACATTGTTTAGCTTAATCTAGGCCTATTACATGCCCTCGGCACTGTGTTTTTGATTGGATTCAAGTACGGTTTTGAACTATTAGGTACGGTATAGCGTAATGCATCCTCTAAAAAATATTGGAACACTTTAGACTGCAGCTTGTACATAACTTGCATTAAGACACAATGCTTAACATTTAGGCAAAAAAAATCCTTAAATTTTTGATTAGCCTACCATATAGATGATTTTTTGATTACAAATATTCTATATGATACCCTACTCAGTGTAGGCCTACATATTAGCCTCATATGTGCTCATTGAATGCAACAGCGGGTACAGTTCCGCAGAAACCCTACAATATATTATCAGATGAAATCTTCATTCGATATAGGTTTAAATTAAATATCAAATTGAAATATTTGATTCAATGTAACTTAATGGTATCCTACATAGGCTACCTATCATGTAGAGTGTAGAAATATTTTTGCATAGCTATACTTCCATGGGCAAATCGTTCCATTCCATGTTGTAGATTAGCGATAGCAACCCATGTTCTTTCCAACATTTTGTCCGTAGCATTGCATTGAATTGGCTGGATACCCCTACCTCATGGAGTTTTGAGTTTTTATTCTAGGTCAGGCTTCACCATGTGATATTCTCTTTTTTGCATCACCTTTAATTTAACGTTGGCTACAACCTTTTGCTGGTAGTGTTCCATTAGCCCATTACATCTTGACAGGGCTGCTGCAGTAAATGTGCCCTTTTGGCCTGGGTTCAAAAGCGCAAGAGGTTTTAGCTTTGTTTAAGGGTGCAAAGAGAAAAATTCCCCGACTCCAACGGGGGCCAAAAGTATCTCTCAGGCCCATAGCACGTCACATGCAAACGGGGAATTGCATTACTTGAAGCAGGTGATCCCTAATCAAGTATTTTAATTGGCTACATTTCCGTTACTGACAAGCTAAATGACCAGGGTAAACTATTTATCTGAGTAAAATAAGTCTAACGTATTTAAAACTTGGCATTTCACTGGTAATAGAATACTTTCCCTTTATCATGGATATAAGTGTTGACTATGGCTAGGCGCACACGAGCGATTATTTTGAGGCGACTATTTCATCGGCCGACCTGTACATCATATATTTGAATGGAAGCGCGCACACAGGCGATCGAGAATTGCGCCAATTTTAAAATCTGGGTTTTGCCACAGATTTGTAGGCGAGGCGATTGTCGCCCGAAAATCTGTAACGTACAGGTTGTTATCAGTCCGCGCACACGGTCGACTAAAAAATCGGCCAGTCGCTTGTTGTTCTCCACAGGAGTCACTGAACTTCAGTACTTCAGTGTGAGCTGTGTTGTTTTCTTTGCTAAAAAAGGCCACAGCTGTTATAATAAAAACTGAAACTTTCAACAGACATTCTTAAAGAACTTTTTACTGTCATCACGTAAAGTGTATAGTTTATAAAACTGTCGATTTAAAAGTCTCTGACTTACTATCGGATGAACCCAATATTTAAGTTGTCTTCTTTTTTTCTTTGGTCTAATTAGAAGAGCACAAACACAGGTTAATTCAACAAAGTAACATTTTAGTATAGCTTAAACGCACTAAAAAAATCCATTCCTCGACTAAAAAATCGCCACGTGTGCGCCTAGACATAAATCAAGGGCGATTTATTTTTGGCCGATTTTTTTATTGGCCGATCGAAAAATCGACCGTGTGCGCCAGGCCTATGGCTTTGGCTAGACCAAAGGGAGCAAACAGATCCCAAATTGTCTTTTATTTATATTTGTTTGTTTACGGCAAAATCGACATTTTTGCAATAAATTACATATTATTCATTCTGATAGCCCCTGGACTACGAATAATGACTTTATAGGCTTACGGTCAGCTTACGGTAGACTGGCTACCTACAACCGCTGCCGTGCCGTGTCATGATAGCGCTTAGTGTTATTTTGTGTTTAAATGTTCCGTGTCCCGTGTTGTATTTTTTGTTTAAATTATTTTAGGTTTTTGACGTAAAGCTCCGACGATGTTGCAATGCAACGAAACATGTCAGCTTTGATCAACATTAGTTGAATTAAGACACAATTTTGGACTACTGACGGAGGTAAGCCTATAAAGTCAATAAATTACATGCAGAACAATTTGTGGATTTTTCAATTTGGTCTTCAAGCTAAAGCATGCACAACTGTTATTCGAGTTTCCAAAAAATGAGTTCCTTGTGTTCTTTTCCGAGAAGCCTGCTAGTCCTAAATTTAGACCTACTCTACGCTCTCAGTCAGAAGGGGTTTTAATACTTTTTTGAGTAAGGAGTCAACTGATAATCTAAACCTATTGCCCTAATTTGTTCAGGCGACCAGTCAAACCCCATATATCGGTGTTCTGCATTGAGTGTAGGCCCTATTCACTGGATCAGTCGGTACGGGACGGATGGACTTTAGATAGCCTAGGCCTACCTCTACAGTCCCTCCTAGCATTTCGTGCCACTCCAAGCATCTGAAAAGGCGGAAGGTCCGTTCCGTCCGAACCGAAACACTTGCGTGCTCTGCAGACGGCATCAAAACGGCTGATGACTCAGGTAGGCACATCAGGATATCCTAGAACTCTTATTTCAAACTTTCTTTCAGACAACGGAAGGTGTGGATGGTCCTGTCCCGACTTTGGCGACCTAGTGCACACATAGGTAAATCAATGCTAAAAATCTTTGTAAAATACCGTTTAAGTACTGTCAGTTGGGCCGTCCCGACCCAGTGCGTTCTTGGCTTTCAATTTTCTAATTCTCTTTGTTCAATTACAGTACAAGTTATACAATGATTATCGTCAAATAAATATAAAGATGAATCTTACCTTACTTATTGCAAAATAATTATTTTAGGTAACTTAACATAAACTAAATACAAATTTGATGCAAAACATTGTATGGCATGTTCAACATGCCTACATGGCCTGTTCAACATGCCTACAGTATACCTTAATTTATAGTGTTAAATGTTTGTACTATTTAGTTTGGAGGCAATTTTTTTTTTACATTTTATGTCGTTTCATAAATATACAAGTCATAGACTGTTATAACACCTAATTTAGAAAAAAAATTGTTCACCGATTGGTGATTATCTTTAATGTTGTAAATAATTCGGAGTACTTTATTTTTGTTGATGAAGATTTTTGTGTAAGATTTTCTTAGTTTCCCCTCCATAAATTGCTATCTCACAAGACATGTGAGAATTTATTAATACAAAATAGATGATTTCTAAGGTACGGTACCAATATCTCACATCCTTGACATTTGTCGCAGGGTGCATCAGCCTTTTGAAATTTTACCAATTAGGCTACAAGCTTAACATGTTTATCCCAATTTAAGTTTTGATCCAATATCAGTCCGAGACATTTTTTATGCTCTACTTGACTCATCAGACCAGTTTGAATTATCAATGTAAATGTTCCGGATAAATTTAGATCTTGATTTTTTTGCTTTTTACTGCTGTTACTGCTTTACTTTAATACTTTATTCCGAAATGGCGACTATACAAATGCTGGTATTTTAAGGCAAGTATGTATGGAGATGAGTGTAGGATGAGTGGCGCGATCTTTTACTGTTCTTCTCTTGTTACTGACTAAGGCCGACATATTCCTTAGACTCAGCTGATTA